CAGTGGAATGAAAGCTCTGCAGGGTTGGGAGCTTTGTTCTGAATCTTCTTAGTGTACAATTCTGCAAGTTTTGACAAACGTACACAGTTGTGTGACCACCACCGCAATCTAGATCTAGAACAGTTCCATCACCCCACAAGATTTCCCGAGTTCCCAATCACTGATGTGTTTTCTTTCTCTATGGTTTTGTCTTTTCCAGATTTTTATTTTTATAAATCATACCATATACAGCCGTTTGTGTCTGGCCTTTTTCACTTAACAATGCTTTTAAGATGTATCCTTGTTGACTGCTGAGTAGTATTCCACTGCACTGGGGCCCCACAGTTCATTACCCACTCACCCATTAGGGGACATTTGGGTTGTTTTCCAGTTCAGGACAATTACAAATAAATTCACTGTAGAAGCTGGCTTTCTATTTTAAGCATATTTGGGAACTAGGATTTTCACCTGGGGATTATTATGATCTCACATTTCAAACAGATCCTTTGGTAGGAAAGAGGGTGACCAGCTGGGATTGTAGCCAGGAGATGGAGAGCAGCAGCTGAATTCAGGCTTTATTTTGCAGACAGAACCAAAAGGCCCTGTTGATGGTTTGGATGGGGGAGGGGGCGAGGAAGGGGCGGGGCAGAGAAGAATCCCAAGTGTTGNTTAGAGAGGGGGGAAGAGAGAAAAAGAAACATCAACCGTTTGCCTCCAGCACGCGCTCCGACGAGCGCCTCTACTGGGGCCAGGGATGAGACCCGCAACCTACACGTGTCCTGACCAGGAATGGAACCCGTGGCCTTTCAGTGTGTGGGACGACGCTTCTACCGACGGAGCCACGCCCGCGGGGCCCATAATTTACTGATTTAATGTGCACATCCCCTGTCGAAATTCTGCATTATGTGATGTTAAACCTCTGCTTTTCCTGTTGGTAATGGAAATGCCAGCTCCATCTTCAAGTACAGAGGGAAGAACACAGAAGAACTAACTGGAAAAGTTTTACTTTCTAGTAGGCAGAATTTTCCGAAAGGTCAGATTGACCCGTGGCGCCAGAATCTTCCTGCGGACGGGGAGACTGTGATACCAGTGAGAGTTGGTCGGGGGGTTCATCATAAGCAAACTCCCGTGGGCCAGCGCAAGCCTGACCGCCTCCAGCCTCCGGGAGGGGCTTCTCCCTCGGGAGTCCTTATGCCGGAAGACGAAATCTCTGCAGGCCCCAAAGGAGACGGAGGCGATGGGGCTGCCGGGGGCCAGTTCCCTTTCGTCATCTCGGTGCTCCCCAATGTGGTCACAGCCATCTCTGTACCTGCAGCGAGAAGGCAAGCACAGCTCCCAGGACAGCGCCCTCCCGAAATGCGCCCACCCGGCAGCATTGGCCCTTACAGTGGGCAACGCTGCTCGGGGCACCCGGGGTTCTGCGAGGCTGGAGGGCTCCCCAGGAGAGCCACGCCCGGAGCCTTTCCACTGTGACCTAGTCCTAGTTATGTGCTTGAAAACCCAACCACCAACAGAAGCCAACAGTGTGTCCTCTAGGTCTCCTGGTTCAGGCAGGTAAATAAACGCCTGTCATAAAAGGTCTCCCCCTGCACCTGGATAAAATCCATATTCCTTGCACAGTCAGGCCCTTGCCCACCTCCGAGCTCACCCCCTCCTCCTCCTCTCATCCACAGCTTTCTGGCAACATCGATGGGATTTTCACTCCATAGACTCTCCAAGATCCCTCTCTCTTCCTCCCAGTGGCTCTTCATTTAGTTCCCAGCTCCAATGTCAGCGCCTCCATGAGCCCTTCTCTAGCCGCCATCCCCTAAACCCAGAGCTCTCAACCTGCAGGATTCTGCCCCACCCCGGACTGGGCAAAGTCTGGAGACACTTTGGCTGCTGTGGCTGGGGAGGGGTTGCTACTGGCATGTAGGGGGTAAAGGCCAGGGACGCGGCTCCTCAACATCCTCCAGTGCACAGGATGGCCCACCACAGAATTAGCTGGCCCCAAACATCAGTAGTGCTGCTGCTGAGAAACCCTGCCCTGAACCCAGACCCTTCCTCCCAGCCATTCTTGGTCAGATCAGCAAGACACTCACCAATGCCTGAAATTATTTCATTCCACTGGTCATCAGTTAATCACCTCTCAGTCCCCCCTGCACAACGAGCTCCATGAAACCGGACTGTTCATCCTAATCCACCCTCACAGCCCCGGTGCTCTAAAGAATTACCTGTTGTGCAAATGAATCCAATATGGTGGGATCCTAAACTCTCCCTTTTGGAAGAGGCAGAGGATTGATAAAATTCAGTGCAGTGGCCTAATAAGGTAAAAAACAAGTAGGGTGTCACCTGTTCACGAGCACGAAGTTGAAGGTCTGTCCAGTCACCAAAGAAACACGATCCCGGACTCGCTCGAGAACTGGGATCCAGGGCTTTGGAGACAGAGTAAGGCCTGAAAACGTGTAGGTCAGCCCAGCGTCGCCATACGTCGCCTGCTTCCTGGGCACGCTGTGCCACTTCCCAAACACCTGCACCTTGGCCAGCGCACCTGTGCGGAGGAAACACGGCAGCTCGGAGAGCCAGGCAGGGGGGTGCCCTACACACACACCCCGAGTAGTCAGGATTGAAAGGGAAGTAAAACGGGAATAACTTTTAATAACCTGACCGAGGACCCCCTCCTCAAAAGTCATCGTGGCTTGCCCCAAATTTTCATTTCAGAACAGTGATTCTTGTCCTCCACTTAGAGAAACATGGTCTTAGTCCAATTTTTTCAAGACACCATAACTTAATCGCCTTAACTACAGAAGCAGAATAGAGGCCGAAGTGTGAGCAAGATAAAAGTTAGGGTACACACTAGGGTGATTTTGCCCACTGCGGGGACCGAGGGTATGGAGCCCCATGAAAGATGGGGCTAACACAGCTTAGTCTGTAGGCTGGGGTCTCCTGTGGGCTCTTCTGTGCCTCCTACTGCTCTGCCACCTTGCAGTGGTCCCCAGCAGCATCCGCGTGACCTGAAAATTCAGACACTAGTCTGTGGGAGTGGGGCCCAGCCGTCGGAGTTCACACAAGCAACAAAGACCTCCAGGTGATGCTGAGAACACGATGCAGAATTACCCGGTCGTTTGCTGTCTCTCCTTCTAGGCCAGTGGTTCTCAGCCCTGGCTGCACATTGGAATCACCTGGAAGGTCTTTGAAAACACTGAAGCCCAGGCTGCACCCCCAGCTATTCCAACTCAATTGATCTCAGTCAGAGCTCCGCATCTTTTTTCAACTTTCCCAGATGATCCTCCCAGGGGAGATTCACTCTAGTAATGTGTCAGCCCCCAGTGGGCAGGCAACCCTGGGTATTTTTGGTGTGTTTTTTTAAAGTTTGTATCCCAAGCGCCTAGCAAGGGGTCTTGCCCCACAGGGGCCCAGAAAATATGTGTTGAATTAATTAACGAACTCATCAGTAATGAATGGCTCCTGCGCTCCGATTACTCTAAACAGAGACTCGTTTTATCAGGCAGGCCTTCAACACACACCCTGCAGTCCTCTGCTTACCTGTAAAATATTCCACCTCTTGCTCCAACTCTAGGAAAATCTCGTCCGCCTCACCTTTGCCAAACAGGACTGTGTAATCGCAGTCCAGGCCCTCGGACCGAATGCGGCGCCAGCTGAGGGCTGCCGAGTCAACACCATTCCCCGGGCTTTCTCTCCTGGGCCTTTTCCTGGTGCTTCCCCCATCTTCTCCCAACTCTGCTGGGCCTGCTCCTGTCTGCTCCTGCTCCCTCTTTCCCAAAAGGCCCCCGAGAACCCTCTTCACCAGGAATCTGTCCATCCTGTCTCCCCAAAGCGAAGACCGGGAGTCCGTGGTGGGGCAAAGAGAGAGAGAGACACTGCCCAGGCTCTGTCCCAGATGCAAAAGTTGGCTCTATGGCAAAGTGACCCACAGCGGCATTCCTCCTTACTGTTCTCAAGTTTCCATTGCAAAGTTTAACACCGTGTCCTAGAAAGGAAGCAGAGGATTAAAGCAGGAATGGTCCCTTAGAATGATCTGGTCCAGCCCAGAGTCTCCCACACCTGGCTGTTCTAGAATCAGCTGGCTACTTGCAAAAACCCAAATGCCTGCACTCCATCCCCAAGCACCCGAATTTTTAAAGACCCCCCCCCCCCC